ATAAAAAAACATCTGCTTTTGAATTCCACCTTTTTTAGTTCAGTATTAAGCTTTAGCAGTTTCTGACTCTAATTTCCTTTGTGTCTTTTGTATTTCCACTTTCTTCAATCTATCAACTCTTCGGGTTTGTGCTAATTTTGTTGGTAGCCGAGCAGCTACAGTCAACCAATTATGGAAAATTATGTAGTTTGGATTTGGACTGTCAATTATCTAAGCATTGTCTGAATATAATAATAGCTTGAAATCCTCCAAATGAACAGTCACTGAACACCTTGCATCTGGAGCCATTTCAGGGAAGTTAAACAGAACATATCTGATGCCAGAGATTTAATTTCCAAGCGTAGAAAAAATCGTCACTCTCTGCTCAAAACACAGCAAAAACATCGTATTTCTACTCTTCCTAAGGGCTTCCATGACTCTTTGTTGCCTTGTGAGTTGGCAAATGTCATTTTTTTTTTTCATTTGTTGTTTTAATTTGGCTACCATTAGTAACATTGTTTTTCGGCAGGTCGTTCATTAGAGCTCCAATCCTTGTTCTCCAAAAGGAAAGTCAAGATATCAGAGTCCTTTCAAACTACAAAAACTCCCAGAAAGTTAGATCAGCTGGGATCTTATATAATAGCTTCTCCGAAAACTCCTCCTCGGCTCTCAACTATTCAATCAATTGAGGGACCAAATGATGTAACACCTTTAAGTCCGCATGAAAGCTTGGGGAGAGAACAGTCTCTGAGAAATGATGAACAACTCAGCCCGATGAATGAGGAAAATATTAACAATCATGTAATCTTCAAAATTACTTTTAACTAAGTTATATTGTAGACAACTGATATCACACATAGCCTTATGAACAACCTTGCAGTGTACTGTGGAAACATTAAGCTCATATGAAAGCTTAGCGGGAGGCCAACCTTTGAGAAAGGATGAAGAACATAATCGGATGAATGGGGTAAACGTTACTACCATAGAAAAACCTTAAAATTTCTGCCATTTGTACTATTCTTTAATCCTGTATCAGCAATCATTTACAATTCACCTTGCAGTGTTATACAAATGATCCTGTTGGAAATATTTATTTCATGTGCATGATACTTCGAGATTTGGCTTATGTGAAGTGCAAGCTTCTGTTTAACGAACCCTGTAGTAAATAACCTTTAATGGACATATCATGAACCTGTAAATGATCTGTTTAAAAGTTTAAATAAGTTATGCTGAACCAATGTACTTTTATTACTGTTGACTGAATATGTCAAATAATATTCCAGCATTTGTTTTCTTTTATTAGTTAGATTTTCCCCTGTTTTGTAGCCCTTTTTTACTCTGTAAACCTTTCCATTTAATACGCTTATTTTCTGGGATTGAATGGCAAGAACTCCCTATAAATCGATGTATTTTTTTTTCTCTGTAAATACATTACAGAATATTCTTCCAAAAGTATTCGATATCTTAGACATGATTGCCTATTGGTTGAAACTAACATTTTGGTCACTTTTGTGTTCTCTATATTCTTGAAAGCACTATGAGCTAACATCTATATATGTTTTACACTTCTGTACCAGGATTCATATTCATTTGAAACACAGAATTCCCAATCTTGTGAGAACTCCCACAAACCCATATTTTTAACTTGTCCCACATCTTTTTTTTTTTTTGGTTTATTTTTTTATGGAGCCTAGTACGGCGTTGTTTCTTGATATCTTTATTTGCTGCAGGTGCTTGGACTGGACAAACCAGGTGAGACTGTAGTTAATTCATGAAATTTAGTTCAGTATCTTTTTGTGATATTATCTTCCTCAATAATGTGCAGGGACGTTGCCCTGAACTTGCACAGAAGTTTTTTGAGTCTCAGGAATCAAAAGGAGGGGGGAAGTTGTTAACTTCTCACAAGCTTTTGGTTCAAAAACCAGGAAAGAATGTGCAAGGGTATTTTATGAAATATTGGTATGTTTATTTAGTCTTCCCAAGTAATATTTTAATCCTTAGAAAGATATCAATTTTCTTAATTCAATCCTCTGAGCTCGTCTGTTTATAGTCCTCTAAATGACTTTTCTCACTGATGGAATCCTCATTTTAGGTGTTAGTATCAGTACTGTATTGGTAATGAACTCCACATTGTAGAATCACAATGTAATGCCTCAGAAATGGAGGACAAAATAGAGTGAATTGACATCTTTCAAGGACCAAAACAACAATGTGCACTTTTTGCTATTTCAGAACTATTAGAAACAAGCTAGTTAAGTAGTAACATATGCATTCTCACTATTGTACCTAATAAATGTTTGATTGGCTTTCAATACAGAAAAATTTTGTTAGGTTTAAAAAAATATTCATAATTATAACAGAACTAGACATATTACTTGTTGGAGTTTGAAAAATGTATTGAATTCCTTCTATCCTTAATGTGGGACCTAATTAACTAATTTGAGTAGATTAAGAATGTTAGTTAAAGTAGTTAATATGGTATGTTTTTTTAAAAAATATTCTAAGAATCTTCCTTAATTCCTTTTGTCTCTCTCCTACTTGATTATTATTGGAAAAATATCAATAGAGTTAATTTGAAAAAAAAATTAATAAACAAATGAAATAGGTTTTACATATAAGATTAATATTAACTCTTAAATTAAGTAATACATGAAGGACTAGAGGAGTACCATTTATCACTTGTAAATAGTGCATGTCAATATAGATTTTATTTAATACTACCTCCGTTCCTTAATATAAGACCTTATTTGATTTTTATTTTGGTTCTAAATATAAAACCCCAATCCACTTTATTTTCATATTTATGCATTTTTTTCTTAACGTAGTCTTTCTAACAATGACAATTCTAACCAATATATTTGATTAGCAAAGATATTTTAGGAAAAACAACACCTATTTATTACAAATAACTAATTTAACTTCTTTTCTTAATCTCCTCAAATTAGTCAACCAGCTCTTATAATTAGGATCGAAGGTAGTATATATATTGACATATTTGTCGCATATTAATGTTGTTTGCTGCATTACAATTTTGCAGGTTTTGAAGACTACAGATTTTGTGGATGCGGAGCAGCATGATGCTTATGGTGATATTTCAATCAGGAAGCTGCCAAAATGGGATGACACTTTTGGAGTGGATGATTTCTAAAAGGGCAGAGACAAATATCAGAGGCTATATATATATATACACACACATATATTATATTATATGATGCATCCTTGTATCATATGAGAAAAATTATGCTGTTTCAATCAAACGTCAAAGATATAAAGCTCACTGTCTTCTGCTGGTTTTCCTTGATGCAAGAACTTCTATTCATTATGACCTTTGTTTAGCTGAGAGTTACGAAATGCCTTTTTTTATGCATTAGTGATATTCTTATGAATCACGCATCTTCTATTGGAGTTAATGCTACAGATCCAAAAATCAAATACATAATACAAAAATCTAGATTATTATATAACGATTGAATCATGCATATATGAGATCCAGGAAACATTGAGTTTCCATATGGAAGCAATTGAACTGCATTAAAACTACTATGGTCACTCTTACACTTATCATAGGTTGAACTTCAAGCAGTATTTTTTGATTGAGGATTGGAGATTATTGAGTTCGAGGAGAGAAAAAGGATACATTTTCTTCTCAAAATTCCTTTTCCACCCTTGGACCAAAAAAAGAATGGTTTAGATGTAATGTCTTATAAAACTAATATTAAAATATTCTGTAAATTAAATTTTTTATGCTACAAGTGTGAATAGTCCAGATTAAATTTTTGCAATTTGAATTTATTTATTTATATTTTAACAATATTTTATAAAGTATTACATATGAACCATTTATTTTTTAATTTAAGAGTGTCAATAGTCCAGATTAAATTTTTACAATTTGAATTTATTTATTTATATTTTAATAATATTTTACAAAGTATTACATATGAGCCATTCATTTTTTAATTTAAGGATGGAGAATGGATTCTAAGAGGGAAAATAAATGAATTTTGAGAGGATATGGATTCAGAACGGAATCTGTTAGAAGTGTTGACTCATAAACCTTTTGACCAAATTCGTATCAAGTTCTGCCTTGTGGCTGTTCTTGAGTTGATATAGGATGGATTAATTTGATTGATTAAATTCGTACTACAGCCTTATAAAATTGAATGAAGTTAATTAGCACAATTTCTAAAAAAATTGGAAAATTATTTTTTTGATTGAAATTATTAAAATCTAAACATCTAAAAAATTGTATTTGTTGTCTTCGAAATTCTAACACCAAAAGCGGCAATCAAATTAAGAGAACAAAAATAAAAATTTAATTTTCTGACTTTATGTAAAACTTCAATTTAATTATTTAATTTTATAAGTGTTTTCAGTCTTTTAAACCTAACATTATTAATCTCAAATTATAATTTTTATAAATTTTTTAATATTAAACTTAATACATTAGAATATTTTATCAATATTTAAAATATTAACTATCATCATCTTTCGTTAATTGTGTCAGAATTATAGGATTAAAAAATATTTTAAAAAATGGAAAACACAATTGAAAGCAGTTAGTGTGCCTCGTTTATCTACATATATTACGTAAGCTCAACAGGATTGTGATATGCCAATTTGCCACCCAACTAAAGTGACTGCAAACTAAAAATCAAGCAAGCAGATATTGTCCCATGTGGTTTGGACCAAACAAAGGGGGCTACCGTAGTCAAAACAATATGAAAATTAACAGCAACAAAAGGAGGAAGTGCCAATTCAGCATTTCTAACCCTCATAATCTTTCCTTCACTGATAATAAAATCAACAAATTTGGATTCCCTATAGTTATATCCTGTTATGCTTTTAGAGAGAGAAAGAACACAGAATAGTGCGATGTGTATGGCTCACTCTACGTCTCTAGTCATCACGCTCATCTTTTCTCTTTAAATTTTTCTCCGAATGCACTAATATGCAGTTTTTTCCTTAACGGTAACAGATCCTATCAAAGATCAACATGGCGGAAGGTACGGAAGGGATTCATCTTCTATCACAAGACTAATGAAATAACGCTTAAATAAGGTCAGATACATCCTAGGTGGCGAAGGGAAATGTTGAATCCTCCACAAAAATTCAGAGAACCAGTACAGCTCAACCTTGACTAATTTCCTTCTCCTTTGCCTTGCATGTATCTTCCGCATTTTTGATAAATTTTTTGGTCAATTCATCAACCTGTAGGCAGGAAAATGTATCAGAATCGGAGCTACGCAATCTTGTTGACCACTCAAACGGAATAGGCTTGTAACTTACTTCTTTCTCCAATCTTTTTATGTCATCCTTGGGGAGACTTGAATATAGCTTTTTGATTGCGTCCATTGCCTGTAGAATAACATCCTTAGACACAATTTGCAGTAAATTATGGTACAGCTCCACTTCGCATATATGGTAAGGGGAGACAACCAATGTAAGTACAAAACCCTTTGGACACAGGCCTGGAGATCTGATTGCATTGTTTCAAGAAATTTTGAAGACTTTCTCTATTCTAATAACTTAAAAAGCTAAACATTAGAGGTATTGATTAGGACAAGATTATGCTGGGCTTTTAAGTGTAAAGCATGAAAAGGAAAACGTGACCACTAGTACCCTATTTGAGAACTCTTCAATGTCAAGAATCAAAAGAGTAGCATGAAATATTTGAGGGGTTTCGATTACCAAACCAAAGTTGAAATAGGTGAAAAACTGATGAAAACATCTAGCAGGAGTGAGAATTCTGGACAACTTGAGCTGAAGCCTTTCCTTGAATTATTTAAAGCAAACAATTTCCTATAGTATACATTGACAACTTAAAGTGAAGGTCAAGCATTAAAAATCTATTCCATAAATTTGTCAGCACTGGAAACTCGGACAAAATTTTCAGTTTATTTTTCAACTTTACGAAGCATGACAGAAGATGACGGCCTGAGCAACCTGCAGCGAGCTGAATTAGGCCCTCACAAAGCCACATGGAGACCAAAGCTGTTGGCCAGCCCAAGCCATAGACAAGTACAGTCATCTACCCAACTCCAGGTACTGTGAAGTTCAGGGGGGCATTGTTCTTTACATGTTTTGTTGCAATGATATAGTTGTTTATGCCACTTTTTCTCAACAACACATACATAAAGATCAAGGAAATGGAATAGCTTTCCACCATACCTTTTGTCGGGCCCTTCTAATGCTTTGACGGGCATCTTCACATGACTTGGTGACCAACTTATTCATAGCCTGAATAAATGCTCAACACAGAGATATAGCAGCAATTATGTGTGTAAGCCATAAATTCTAGCTGAAGGGGAAAAAGTTGAAAACACATAAATTGAAAAGGTATTATTAGTTTACCTGCATATGCTCTTTGGTCAATCTGATCATTACACGGTGAAGTAAATCAGTAAGTTACAATGAGCAAGTATTTTATGGTTCTTTAATGGCCAAAACTCCAAATGAACTTCATCCTGACAGACATCAGTTTCAGAACTTACGGTGGAATAACAGCGATCAATCTTTCACCATCCACTTTAGGATTTAACCCCAACGGAGAGGAAACAATGGCGTTCTCTAATTGTTTAAGTGTCTGTAGAAGTGATAGGGATTCAACTGTCATACTAGTTTAGCAATTAACATCAACAGAAACATAAACCTGATCTCCAATGGCTCTGGATTACAAGTGAACATAAATGTATTCCTTAAGTAAATGGAAATGTTATAAAACTATATAATCAGTTTTGCTGCCTTGAAGTCCATGATAAAGAAAACAAATTTAAGAAATTAAACTTTGAATAAGATCCTGACTGCAAGAGTTAAACCACAGAAAGCTAGAATAAAAACTGGTCCAGACAATGATTAGCATAGAGATAGATGTATGTACGTATTTCTGTTTCAGGAGAGTACCTGTAGATCATATGGATTTACAGATAAGGTCTTTGGATCTATAACTGAAACAACAGCAATTCGGTTCAAGGGCATCTTTATCCCTCCCGTTTCTACAATGATATGGTCAAGCATTCCTGTAGAAACATATCACCATGCATGTACAAGTTAGTTATTAACAATCATGGAAACAAAAAATAAAGTTTCACCATAACGATGCCCTAAAATATACCTGGAGATGCCCTTCCTGTGCGTAGCTTGTTTAGTTCTGTTGATAATGCAGACATTGCTGCCTCCATCTGTGAAATAGCGTTTGCCTTAATAGTAGGCCCAACATCTGGAGGAACTTCAATTGTACTAACACCACCTCCATCCTCTAAATTACATAAATAAAATAATTAACACAATTTTTTTAGCATTAACTTACCTAAAGACAATATGTTTTGCGCAGAAGGAAGTTTAATTAGGCAAGTCATTGGCATACTTTTACAGAAAAATCTCATATCAACTTTATATTGTGAGTGCTTGGAGTTAGTTGATTGCAACCAGAGAAATGATTCTGTCTGACCCTATCAACCTTGCTCTGATCTTAAGTCTACAACTCCTGCTGCTAAAACCTTTATGCTTCAAGTACAGACCCTAATCCAATTCAATTAGCACAAAACATACAACAACCAGAGTTGGAGAAACCAGATTCACTCAGTTCCGAAAAATCACAAACTTTCTTTCACTTATGATTTTTAGCCAGAGAGAACTTTCTTTTTTGAATGCTCCCTCCCTGAATTTTTGTCATGTGCTTATTGTTTAGTCAAAAGGAAACATCAACTATACAGCAGTAAGACAAATTAGTCCTGCTGCTAAAACTTGTGCAATCATATGCAGATAAGTCCATTCACTTGGAAAAAGACCAAAAATCAAAGGAGTTAGCATATTTAATTTCCCTCCCTAAATCAACATAAATTATATCCTGAGATTAACAGGATTCGAGAAGGAATGGTCTGCCTAGATGTTCAAGTTGGAGAAGAGACAGAAAGGCATACTTGACTTTCGTCCCTTGGCAAAGCCTCTGCGACTTTCTATGATAAAATTAGCCGCTGGGACACTGAATACCCTCTCAATATTAGAGTTACATATGTTGATGGGATTTTCGATAGTGCATGAGAGATCACGACCGTAGAGGGCAGAGCTCCGAAGGAGAAGAAGGTTTCTGTGGGAGAATGCACGTCTAATGAAGGTAGACATCAGTCTTCTTTGTTCTTCTTTCTTCCTACTCTTGAGAAATTAAGTTCTTCAATTCACAAGGCTTATTCTGCAGGAATAAATGAAGCTATTCAACTATTCTAACAGCACATTTGCTAACAATGAGAGGAAAAAAAAAAATTGATCATTAAAATCCGAAAATTAATGTTCGCACTTGTAACTTCTTTTTCTCCCCCAAAAAAGTGACAAGCTTTCCTATAGTGTGTTAAACCAGAAATAAGGCTAATTCAATACACACATCAACAGTTCATATTTAGAGCTTCCATAGCGGCATGCCCCAACCCCGTTGTATGTTAAACCAGTAAGCAACTTAAATTCACCCTACTTGCACAGAAATATGCGAAATGCACACCAACTCTAGAAAATAAATAAATAAAAAACCAACACATTTTATCTGGCACATTGGAATCAATCTTCTATGTAGACTTTGCAGGATAGTAATTTTGCGCCTTTGAGTAAGCAGCGCATATGAAGGAAAGGATCGCACAGTTTAGATTTGAAGAATCAAGAGAAGAAAAGGATAAACAATCTCTTACCGTCGGTTGCAGTGATGTTGCAGCGAAGCTGTCGCCGGCGGCTGCCGCGGAGGAAATTGAGAATGTGACTATGTGCAACTGCTAAGGGTCTGTGTGTGGCGGTGCACTCGCGCGAATGGAGCCAACTCAATCAAACGCTGCGTTTAGACTAAAGATATTGGTTGGGCCGAAAGACAGTTTTTTTTAAATGGGCCTAATGCTAGGAATGGGCTATCCTTATTACTGTTGCTAATGTCATCATGAACATGCTCTGTTTTTCCTCTAATTTGTCGTATTGGGAAGTGGAAGTTTACATAATTGTTTTGTTGTCTGATTTAGAATATATTTGGATAAACAGCGGGAGAAGTTTTTTTTTATCTGAATTTTGTAAAGTCAGATAGGGTGATGTGATTTATATTTGTATTAACTTTTGTAAAAAGTCACCCTGAAAAGCTGAAACTTATTTGGACGAATTATGAAAAAATAAATTTAGATATAAAATGATTGAAAAAGACATAAATTTTATTAAGTAATATTATAATGTAACAATCATAAGAAAATATTGAAAATAAAATGTTAACTAAATAATGTTATATAATTATATGGTAAGTCCAAAGCAATAAAATAAAAACAAAAAGATATTTTTTTACAAAAAACAAAAAAATATAAACATTAGGTAAATAAATGAAAAAATGGCATGGTGCTTTTTTTCCCCCTCCAATTTTACATTCAGTATTTACTTTTTTCGATAACTTATGTTCAGTATTTACTAAAAAAAATATTATCCTCAATTTATTGTTCAACTTTTACGTGTGAATGTCACCCCAAAAAAAAAAACTGTTCATATCTAATATCATGTATTCTCTTTCTTCTTTCCTTCTCTCCTACACATCCCACAGTCCCTCACCCCAAAAACACAAAAAAGTAGCTCCTACTCAAAAGCTCACTAGAGCCCACAAATCCATCACAAAAAGAAGTTGATCCAAACATTTTAAAATCCAAAAAGTAGCTTTTGCCGGTGGAAGCATATGTTTAGCTACAAAACGACGATCCCAAACACAGCCTTGTTTATGATGCTTCGCATTTACAGAAAATCTGTCTAAGTTGTTTCATTACCTAATTTATTTGTAAATTCTCCTGGCTAATGACCTAAGTCACTCAAAGATCTCACTAGACTTTCCAAATATTGGACAACTAAACAATCCGGAGCATATAATTCGATAGTAATTAAAAGAAGAGGGCAGAAACATAATAGCCGATTGCATTCCAGTGAAGCCAAAAACTAGTAATCGAATCTTTTTTTTTAAAAAAAATCAATCTTTATTCAAAAGCGTCCCTATTCAAACTACTACCTCCGATTCTTAATATAAGACCCCGTTTGACTTTTAGTTTGGTCTTAATTATAAGACCCCAATCCATTTTGTCTTTCATATTTATGTATTTTTTTTCAAGATAATCTTTTTAATAATAATAGTTCTAGCCAATACACTTAATTAGCAATGATATTTTAGGAATGACAACACTTATTTATTACAAATAACTAACTTAGCTTACTTCCTTAATCTTTTCAAATTAGTCAATTGGGTCTTATAATTAGGATCGAAGGTAGTATTACACGACCAGATTGAAAGACAAATTAAAAATGAAGAAGTTTAAAACAAAGCAAGAAACCGTACGACGGCGTCCGACACAGGCTAGGCAACCACGCGGGGAACAGATGACGCTGGGAGCAAATTCAAACAGAGATTCAAAGTCGGACTGAACAAATCACTGTCACAGGATTTTGGGAGTAGGCAAAGCGCGAACCTTCTTGAATACTTGCAGGAGAACAACCACGCCAGGCTGACAACGGTGAACGGCGTCCGACGGTGAGCTCGACCAAGTGTGGTGTGCTTGTTATGCTTGTTCAATTATAATTCATTAGCTTAATTTATTAATTCTTTTTTTAATCTGGAATTTTAATTTATTAATTCACATAATGAAAGCATTATTATTTTTTACTTCCTCCTGTCCTAGATATAAAACTCATTTTATAATATAATTAGGACTGAAGGGTAATTTATACCAGTATTTTATATTATAAAATAGGTTTTATATTTAAGATTGGAGGGTAATTTATACGAGTATTATATGATATCCCATTCCTATCCTAACGGATAGTCTTTTGCCAGAATTAATTTTTTGATAAAATTAAACACATTATTAGAGAGCATTCTAATTTTTAAAGTCATGATTTTCAAAATATACAATTTTATTTATTAATCAAATATATCTATCCATCAATTTGTAGACTTCATTTGTCCCATGTGTCGATTTACACAACCCCATTTTGTTTTATTATTTTAAATTTTAATAACTTCTGTTTAGAAATATTTGCTTTTTTGAACGGGTCGGGTCAGGCCGTTTTAACTAAGTGTGAGGCCCCCTCTTCATTTACAGGTGACAAATGATAACGGATGATGTTTTTGGATTGTTATTTTTGTTGTTCTATTTTCACTTTTCTAGGTCTTTGTTTCTGACTGGTGGTTCAGGCCAAAAAAAAAAAGTTTAGAAATATGTGTTTCATGCCTCCATCCTTGTAATTTTATACCTTTCTTAAAATTCATCCCTTCTCTCATAAATTACTCCCTCTCACATTTGTATAAATTTCAATCAAATACAGTACTTGATATTATACTACCTCAGATTTTTAATATAAGATCTTGCTTAATTTTATTTTAGTTCTAAATATAAAATCTCAATTTACTTTATTTCTTATATGTATCTATTTCTTTTAAGGTAATCCTTTTAATAATAATAGTTCTAATCAATACACTTGATTAGTAAGGATATTTTAGAAATGCAGCACCTATTAATAACAGATAACTAATTTAACTTATTTTTTTAATATACTTAAATTAATCAAGTAATTCTTATATTTAAGATCGGAGCTAATAATTTCATTGGCCGAAGTATAAATGAGATGGTACTCAGACTATTCGAGAATTTCTCATAAAATAGTCAAACTTTTTGTTAACGGGAGGAAGTGTAATATAAGAATGATGGTAGCTTCCCTCCGCTTTCCGAATGTCTCTCAGTCTCCTTCTCGGCCATTTCGCCTTTTAAATGACCAAGACACGTTTTATTGAGAAAGGTAAACAAAGGCAATCCTTTTAAAGTTCATGTCGGCCACAACGGCTAACTATAGCCTGGAAATTTCTTGAAAAATACTACCTCCATTCTTTAACATAAGATCTAGTTGACTAATTTGTGGAGATCAAAAAAATTAACTAAACTAGTTATTTGTAATAAGTAAGTATTTTCTTTACTAAAATACTCTTGCTAATCATATGTATTAGCTAAAACTACTATTTGATAGAATCTTTGTTAACATGTGTAATTACTACAAAAACTACTTTGAAAAATAGATAAATATGAGAGATAAAGTGGATTAAAGTCTTATATTTAGGGTTAAATTAAAAGTCAAACTAACTTTAATATTAAGGAGTGGAGGTAGTAAAAGAACAAGGTTTCGTACTACTATCTTCTTCTACAAAATATCTACTTAATTTCAGCAAATATAAACGGCCACTAAGGCACACATGCCATAGCGAACCTACACAATTATTGGTGACATTTAAAGTAATTTATTTATCTATTACACTCTAACTTTGTTTGTAGGTTATATAAATATTCACAGATGTGTTTGCCCTTTCTTTATCCACCAACCCATGAAGTCCAAATAAATATTATTAGTACTGATCACTCATCAGCAATAGCAATTGAGTTTTTAAATCTTTTTGATGGATTCCACATGATCTCCTTCTTGACCGTAGAATAAGTCATTATATTATTATCTCGAATAAAGTAATTTATGGTTTATTTAAATGACCAACTTGTGTCTTTGTCTTTCTTTAATCACGGACTTAGGCAATGCAAATAATACAGCTTTAATTCTCATCAACAGAAGCGGTTTATTTCGTTTATATATAAGGAAACCAGTTAATTTCCTTCTTCTCTCCCCTTTGTTTTCATCTCGTTGCTGATTCTAATGCTATTTGACTGCTGAATTTGAAGACCGAAGCAGGAAATTTGCACCTATCCCATGGATTTGACCATTTCTTTAACGCTCATAGAAGGTTTCTTGATCTTATTGGCCATAGCAACTAATAAAGCTATCAGGTTTATCTCTCCTTCATCACTTCATGTTAACCATCCTGCTGCTGTTAATGAGAGGTAATTAATTACTGCTTCTAAAACCCCATATTCGTTATCTTCTTGCTCGATTAACTAATTAATTATCCATTTCTCGTTTCTATATCTTTAGTTTCGAAGGTGAAGCTGTTTCAGTTTCAAAGGTTTCTTCTCCTCCTACTCCTCATATTGTTGCTACTCCTCCTACTACAAAGTATGATGTATTTCTTAGCTTTAGAGGGGAAGATACTCGTCACAATTTTGCAAGTTATCTCTATGAAGCACTTTGTAAAGCAAACATTCAAACTTTTATGGATCACAAACTCCATAAAGGAGAAGATATCTCACCGGTTCTTCTAAGGACCATAGAGGAATCAGAGATATCTGTGATTATTTTCTCTACAGATTATGCTTCTTCAACTTGGTGTCTGGATGAGCTTGTTTACATATTAGAATGTAAGAAAAAATTTGGAAGGATTGTGATGTCTATTTTCTACAAAATTGATCCATCAAATGTTCGCAAACAAAGTGGAAGATTTGGAGATGGCTTTGCTAAACTGAAGCAAAGATTTAAAGACAACCCAAACAAATTACGGAAGTGGAAAAATGCTTTGATCCAATCCACAAGCCTCGCTAGATGGGATTCCAAGAATTTCAGGTACCTTCCAGTGCAGATCATTCGCCTTGTGTGAAAAAAAAAGAGCTTTTTCATGAACTGATAGTGTTATAGATTTTGCTCATCCATTTTAATTTCATAAGTCTACCCAATTGTCCCAGCATTTGTAGTTTATACTTAATTTTTTTGTCTATTAAACATGCTTTTTTTAGGCCAGAGATCAAACTCGTTAAAAAAATTGTCAAGGATATATTGAGCAAATTGAACTACTGTACATCGTCATCATGTCATCTTGAAGGACTTGTGGGCATTAATCATCAAATTGAGAAAATTGAAGAACTATTGATTGATGCTCGGATTGTGGGAATATGGGGCATGGGTGGTATAGGTAAGACTACACTTGCCAAGGCCGTGTTTCACAATTTGAAAGCACAATTTGAAGCTTCCTCCTTTGTTGGAAATGTAAGAGAACAACTAGCAAGAATTGGTCTGAACAAATTAATGGAAGAATGCCTTAAAGAATTATTAAAAGATGAGGGCCTTCACATCTACAATATGAAATCCACTTTTGTGAAACGTAGGCTCCAACAAAAAAAGATTCTTTTGATACTTGATGATGTGGACAATTTATTAACAGCTGAAGATTTAACCAAATTGTGTGATTGGTTTGGAGAAGGAAGTAGAATTGTTGTTACATCAAGAGACATGCATGTTCTCAAGAATGCTTCTGCATCTGCAACATATCATGTTCAGAAATTAGAGTCCGGTCATGCTCTAAATCTCTTCAGTTTGAAAGCATTTAAGCAAAATGATCCATTTAAAAGTTATTTCGAGTTATCAAAGTTGGTTGTTGATTATTGTCAGGGAAACCCATTAGCTCTTGTAGTGTTGGGTTGCTTTCTGTACAATAGAACAAAACAACAGTGGGAAAGTGCATTGGAAAAACTAAAACAAGCTCCACACAAGGATATTTTTACTGTGCTCAAATTGAGTTTTGATGGACTTGATGAGAAGCAAAAGAATGTGTTTCTTGACTTGGTACATTTATCGAGCGAAACAAGTTATAAGATTTCTTTAAACTTTATTAGAGGCTTCTATGACTTTTCTGTATATATTGAGATAAGTGTCCTCAAAGAAAGATCTCTTATTTCCATGGATCAATTTGGTGGAATTGAGATGCATGATCTTATAAGAGAAATGGGTCAAGAAATTTGTAGACAACAATTGATCATTGATCCTGAAAGACCTATTCGGCTATGGAAACACAACGATATTTATCATTTGTTCATCAATAAAAAGGTACTAAGTTGTCAATTTATACGTTTTTCATATTTTTACTTTCTCTTCCTTGTTCAATTTTGAAGCTTTTTGTGTCATATATGTATTTGTTGACTAGGGGAGTGGGACAATTCGATGCATATCTTTGGATATGTGCAAGACAAAAGAGATAACATTGCAGGCTAATACCTTCAGAAAGATGAATGCCTTAAAATTTCTCAAGTTTTACAAGTCTGATTTTGAAAAGCCTTCAAAAGTGTATGTTTATGAAGGTCTTGATAATCTCCCTGAAGAACTAAGGTTTTTCTTTTGGGAAGATTATCCTCTGCCATCTGTACCACTAAGCTTTTGTGCAGAGAATCTCATGGAACTTGAAATGCCTCATAATGAACTCCAACAACTTTGGGATGCAGATCAGGTACATATAAATATCATTTCCCCACAATATATATATAGAGAATTTAATTGTTATGTAACTTGTTTCCGTTGTTTCTCTTTTTCAGCATTTCCCGAATTTAGGAGTGATGAATCTGACTGCGTCAAAAGATCTGGTTGAGCTTCCAAATCTCTCTCAAGCCCCCAATATGAGTATGGTATATCTTGATGAATGTGTGAACTTGACTCAAATTTATTCTTCAAGTAGCTTGAGCAAGCTTTCCCATTTATCCATACGAGATTGCAAAGACCTGAGACATATAAGCATTGGTGGCAATATCAAGGAGACAAGTTCTGGGTTAGTAGCTGTCTACAATTTTCTGGATCTTGGCAACTCGTTGTTCCATAAATTGATTGTGAAGCTCTTTGTCTCAAACGATGGCAATATTTTCTCTGGTTTTCGGGTTAAACTTGTGTCAGTATCATTGTCAGAGATATTATCAACAGATCAGTACATGAACAATACTGAGAGTTCAAAGTTGAAATTGTCATCTTTGCTTCCATTTGTTACTTCACTTCGCTGGTTAGATCTTATGGAGTTTGGCAATTTCAGCGAACGTTTCAACTTTCTTTCTGAACATGAAGAGCTTAAGAATATCCATGCCAAAGATGTAGTCAATGAACTCAGAGCGATGGTGAGAAAGCCATTGGAGGTTGAAGAAAAGAGAATAACAGTAGAGGTGATCACAGATTACACTTCTTATTATCATGGAAAAAGGAAGCCATTGGAGATCGAAGAAGAGATAATGACAGAAATAATGGAATGCTGTTGTAGTACAAGCAATAATAGATTAATCAGAGCTCCTAATAGCATCACACGCTGGCCATTACTGACACAGGTGACATTGCAGAAAAGTGAAATTACTGGGTGTGAAGTTTGGGACATTCCTGGGATTTCAATGTTGAAATCACTTGCAGAATCTGGTTGTTGCAGCAGGAATAAACCTGTCATAGATATAAGAATTTCACTGGATAAAGAAGCAACGATATGGGGTGGCAACAATGATATTGTAGCAGAAACAAAATGGGACATGCCTAATTTTAGCATCGATATATGGCAAGAATTGGCTGGAGATTTCTTTGTTCATTTTCCCATTCGCTTAGATCACGACTCCATTTCGTTTCTTTTATGGTTTTCAAGAAGAACTATCAGCAAGTGATGATGACTTCTGATGCTTCACTGTTATGGATTGATGTGTAGATAATTTGTTTCGCACTCACGTATCATAATTACTGAATCAAGTGTGCGCATTCATTTTGTGAAAGTAAGGCCTACACACAGATGATTTATACACGTAGGAAAGATCATGTTTCTTAAATATAATTTTGATTGTAGGAATGTTTAATTACTGGATCCTAAAGACAAATCACTATTCTAATTTTGATTCATTTTTTTCACTTTCACCTCTTATTTATTGAAATAAATGTGAAAAAGCAACTAGCAGTGTTTTATATTTGATATTCTCTACGTCCCCTATTATAAGTTTTAATTTAAAAAAAAAACATATAGACTAAAAAACCAGTAAAAAATATGTGATATGTAAAAATTATTTTGCTTTATTCCTACTTTCAATTAAATGCAACGGACAACGTTTCTTTAAATATTAAAATTACAACATGTAATTTAGACTTTTATTAAACAATTTTACAAAAAGATACATTGATTATACCTAAAAAGTTATATTTAAAAAAACTTAAAATTAGGACCCTTGTTAACCAATATGATGAGCGCAAAGGGAAAAAAATTAAGAATGATACTTAAAGTGTTTTAGAAAAAACATATCATATTAACTAATTTAACTAATATTCTTAATCTATTCAAATTAATTAATTAAGTCTCAACATTCGGGACTAGAAGAGTACTTTCATTGCTACAATCGGAGTATAAGGGCGAGAGAGAGGGTCATCAATAAAGCAGGGGAGCCTGGGAGGTTTGAGGTTGATCTATGAGAATAAGAGAAGCAACCACAATAATTACTCATATGGGACTCTGGAATGTCCAAACGCAGTTTTAGATCTACGAGAGGTTGAATCTTTTTGCTTTTCAAAATTGAAGCTTGTAGAATAATGTAACCTCTTGCGTTTCCAATAATGGAACAAGTGCTAATACACTAGAATTAGTGTTAACTGTACAACACTCCGCTTGTGCCATTAACTCGTCGTCTTCAACTTCCAATCTCATCCTCTCCTCATTATCATTACCCACTTCTCTTCTTAATGGTACCACCACGCCACTTTCTGACACTCGTTCAAATCAAACGCCAGAGATGATCCCTCCTGACACAAACATCTTCATTGTGTCACTTTATTGAATGACAACTTGTGAAGATCCAAATAATCACGCACATTCACTAACCCTGATCAACTTCTTTCTCCCTTTAACAGTACCACCAATGTTTATTCGCTCTGGCCCATCATATCTTAAGACATAAATCGGTAAGCTTGACTAGGACAGTTTGAAGAATGGATTTGATCCAAACTTACACAGCCATCAGCTTTTAAGCATTCAAGATTCGGGGTCTTAGGGGGTGTTTGGGTGATAACCCAAACCATGGTTTGGGGAAAAATCACCCAAACACCCTTAAAAAAAACCAAAACCATGGTTTTGGGAAAAACAAAATTTTTTTGCTTTTGGAAAAAAAAAAGAGAGTGTGAGAGCCTATAGGATATGTATCTTGTTGTTTTTTTTTTTATAAACATATTTTTTTATAAATATATTTAATCTTATATCTTATAAATATATATACATATTAATTATTTATTAATTATATTATCTTATGTATTATTAATTATGTTAATAAAAAATATATTATTAACAATTTTATTCCTTCAAATTAAAATATATCATAAAATATATTTTTTCTGTAATTATCATATTAACTTATGTTTTTTTTAGTAATTTGTACATGTAAAAAGCGCTTCTGGTAACAACTATCCAAACACTCTCACTTCTCAGAATCATTTTTTCACAAAATCTATTCTTGAAAAAATCTATTCTCCCCAGAATCTATTCTCCAGAAGCTATTTTCCAAACCATGGTTTGGTTATATCCAAACACCCCCTTAGACAGATCTGAGAGTACTGTGAGATATTTTGAGCAGCTTATGTCGATCTTCTTTAAATTTGAAAAATGCTGAAAAAATAAGCAATATGTTACGTTAGATAATTACACAATTTAACCATGAATTTCACTCATGACAATTAAAAACAGGAGACTTTAAAGGAAATAAGTCAATGCATTCAGAAGAGCACTGGATTTAAGGAAAGGAAAAAAAAAGGTTTATAAAGCTGGAAAAATTGGTGATTGGTAAACTTGGGTCCGGATATGTATATGTATAGGGGTTGCGCAATCTTAGGGCTAACGAGGGCAATATGCTCAAATTCTCACAGCTAACATGTAATTTCTCCAAATTGAGGGGGTGTACTCAAATATCAACCGTTCATTTGGTCAATGTTTGATGGCTGAGATATCTAAAACAAAAGTTCAAAGAGGTGTTTAGAATTAGATAAAGAAAATGATACATACTTGATGGCCTTTCCCAAGTTGCTTGATATGACCATTAGGAATTTGAAGCTCAGCAGGATTCCCCTCATAGAAGCTTAACGGCACAGATGGTAAAGGATATTCTTCCAACTAACAACCCTGAATTATTTCATCTGGAAGATAACTCATATCCTTACCAATAATCAACTTTGAAGGCTCTCTCCAATCAGACCAATAAATTTTTAGAAATATTAAATTATGCATCTTTCGAAGGTCATTAGCTGTCAATGGAATCCTTTTTATCTTGCTCATGTCCAATGACAAGCACTGGATTGACTCAGTCACCTAGTAAGCACGTCAAGGGGAAAAAAAGAACAACTATTATAACATAAAAATTTACCAAAATATCATGGAAAATGAGATTACAAAAAAAGAATAGATAGATTAAATTAGTACCTTGTTACTAATGAAAAAATCATAAATGTCCTTATAACTTTGCAGTCGAACAAGGCCTTTAGGATTGGAGAATGACTGTTCTCTAGCAATTTCAACACCCATGTCCCTCACAAGATCATGCATCTCAATATAGCCATTATGATCCAATGAAGTGAGGGCTCTCTCTTTAAGAACATTTATGTCAATATCTACAGAAGAGCCATATAATTGTCTTATTAGGGTCAAAGAAACTTCAACTCTTTCCTTGATGAAAAATGCTATGTCAAGAAACATATTCTTTTGGCGCTCATCAAGTCTATCAAAACTCAATTTCAGAACATCAATAATGTACTTGGGTGGTGCTTCTTTTGTTTTTTCCAAAAAACTTTCCCACTCCTCTTTTCCTCTACCTTGAAGAAAAGAACCCAACATTACAAGGGCCAATGGATTTCCTTGACAATAATCCACTACTGATTCTGATAATTCCATATAACTTTTAGGTGGCTCATTTTGTTTGAATGCTTTCAAACTAAAGAGATGAAAGGCATCATGTAAATTTAATCTTGAAATAGAGTATGTTGAAAATGCAAAAGCATTATGAAGTACTTGCATGTCCCTTGATGTGATAATAATTCAACTTCCTTTTCCAAACCAACGATACATTTTAGTTAAATCTTCAGCCGGTAGTGAATTGTCCACATCATCAAGTATCAGAAGAACTTTTCTGCGTTGAAGCCTACTTCTCACAAAAGAGGATTCTATATCAAAGACATTAATGTCCTTATCTTTTATTAATTCTTTGAGACATTCTTTTTGTAACCTGTCAAACCCAATTATTGCTAGTTGTTCCCTTACATCTTCCACAAAGGAGAAAGCTTCAAACTGTGCTTTCAACTCGTGGAATACAACTCTAGCAAGAGTACTCTTACCTATACCACCCATACCCCATATTCCCACAATGCGAGCTTTACCCAATAGCTCTTCAATCTTCTGAATATGATGATCAATCCCAACTAATCCTTCAAAATGAAAGGACGACTTGCCATTCAATTTGCTCAAAATATCTTTGACAATCTTCTTAATAAGTTTGGATTCAGGCCTAGCACATACATAAATTAAAAGAACAATCATCTTTAATGCCCAAAGAAAGAAGGTATAAGTGCAGAATGAGTAGAAACTACCTGATATTCTTTGAATCCCACCCAGAGAGATTTGTTGATTGGATCAAAGCATTTGTCCAATTTTGCACTTTTTCTTGGTTGCCCCTAAATCTCTGCTTAATCTTAGCAAATCCATCTCCAAAACTTCCATTTTGTTTGCGAACATTTGATGGATCTATGTCATAGAAAATAGGGATGACAACTCTTTGGTATTTATCCCTACAGCTCATAATATGAACAAGCTCGTCCATACAACATGTTGAAGATGCATAATCTTTGGAGAAAATAATCAAAGATATCTCTGATTCCTCTATTGTTTTCAAAAGAACGGGTGAGATATGGTCTCCTTTGTGGAGCTTGTGACCCATAAAAGTTTGAAGGTTTGCATCGCAAAGTGCTCAATAGAGATAACTTGAGAAACTGTCATGAGTGTCTTTCCCTCTAAAGCTAAGAAAGACGTCATAATTGGTTGTAGGAGGAGCAACAATGATATTAGAAGGAGAGCAAACCATGGGAATCGAATCAACATCATCTTTAGAACTACAGATGGAAAGAAATCATAAATTAATATTGGGCTATCAGCAAACGGAACAAAGAGGAATTGCTATAGAAGATGTTACCTCTCATGAATAGAAATAGGACGGATAGTATGAAGTGGAGAGATTAATCTGACAGCTTTATAAATTAGTATAGCCAGCAAAATCAATACAGCTTCTATGAGCATTAAAGCAATGGTTGCATCCATGTGACTGTAATTTCTTGCTTCAACCTCAAACTAATACTTGCTCTTTGGCTTTACCTTCCCAGCAGGGGGTATGGTTTGTTTCTTAATTCACGTGATGATAAAAAGATAAGACAAAAATAGTTAGCAAGTGCACAATACATGTGTCTATATAATACGATATCTCAGGCATTGCTAACCTAATGTTATAGTATCTTCAGAATTATTATAATTAAAAATATATTATAAAAAATTATTTAAATAAAAAATTATAATATTATAAAATTAATTGTTTTTTAATAAATATATTATTTATTAAATATATTTTAAAGCTGAAAAAAAGGATAGCCTAAAGAGAATAAAATTTCATTTTTCTTAGAGCATATAAAATTTGTTAATTTGATTATTTTAAATATATTATTATATTAATTAGGCTAAAAAATTACTGTACCAATTTTTTAATGCACATATTAACATGATAAGACTGAATTTTCATTAAATTATATAATTTAAATTAAGATGTAAATTAATTTATATAATATATCAATAAAAAATATAAACTAATATGTAAGGGTAAAATGGTAAATTGATTATTACTATCCCTCCCTTCCCCTCCTTGAACCAAACAAGGGATCATTAAATATCCTCTTCTCCCTTTCTTTTTAATCAAACCAAATAAGGTGAGGATAAAACCTCCCCTCCCCTTCCATCCCCCACCCTCCCCTCCCTTCCCTACCCTCCCCTCAAATCAAACAGGCCCTTAGGTGGCGACGATGCCTCTCGCTCTCAACTCTCGTCCTCTACCAGTCACTTATTGATCTCTCATCCTCGCTTCCCCTCTGCCTAAGGACTTCATACTCACTCACTCACACAGTCACGCACGATGCCTCCCTCCTCTACTACTGGCCGGCAAATTGCTTCTTTGTCATGGGGCAGTCACCCATAGCCTCACTTCTTAAGCTAACTCCCCAGCTTTCTTTCGGTCTTTCAAATAGGTTTGTATCCATACTAGTAGGTATAATATTCATATGTAAGCTCTTTTATGGAGTTAACCGCTACTACTTGAGAATAAGCCCGGAGGCAAGTATAGGGAAACTATATATTGATTATGTTTATGGAAAAAAATTGTTCTTACAATTTTGCTGTAATTGGAACGACTGTATTGAAGTAAAATACCATTGCAAACTTGTTGTTAGGATAGGAACCCAGCATGAAAGGCTTTAATAGTTTTAGTTATTGCTTTGTCCTTTTTGTGGACTTGTGAAAAAGCTATAACAATTTTGGAAAGGGCATTATTTAGTACTTGGTGTAATTTTGGGACTTGTGAGTGTCTCTATAACGAGGACATGGTTGAATTACTAGTTTTTTCTTTAATGTATGTGTTTGGTTGATGTCAGATTTTTTCCATTTAGGTTTAAGATGGGTTTATCTGGCAAGAGATCTAGAGAATCGCAAAACAATGACATTGATTGGGATGACTACAGTGATATTGAGAATGAACAGGCAAGTATTTGCTGGGAGTTTCATCATCTTCCAATGTAATATTTATGATTTCTTTTTGGGTGATTGAGGATTATATTTTGATGTAGGTAGAGTCTGATGCAGAGGATTATGATGATGATGAGGGGGAGGATGAAGATGACGAGGAGGGAACCTATGATGAAGAAGATGATACAGTAGAGGAAGATAAATGGAATAATGATGAGATGGAACAGCTTGAGAAAGAGTATAGGGAACTCTATAAGCAAGAGCAGTAAGATTTCCATCTTTATGGATGTGACATGACTTATATTGCTAGATTTGAAGTTTCTCAATGAAGTTAATATGTGGGAGACTTTTCTTTGCAGTTGTTATTTTTATGTGCTGTATTGTTTACTAGTCTTGATGGTCTTTTGTTGTTTGTTTAAACTTTAAACTTTAATCTTATATTACACCCCTTGTTACATGGTAATTATTAAAATTAGAGTTAGTTAAGAGAATTGTTAGTTAGTTAGAGAAGGTTATTAGTATCCGTAGAGGATAATAGTGCATGCATGAGGTGTCTTGGAATTCAAATATAGTTTCTCTATTACTTTCCTTGTTCTACCTGCATCAATGGTATCGAAGAGAAAAAAGTAGAGATAGAATGTAGTAATTTCTTATTCCCCACCTTAGAACGAGTACATGTGGAATACTTATATTGATTCTCTCATGCTTGCTCTGGTTTAACAGACTAATAGAGTGATAACTCTTCTGTTACAACTAACTAGCTACTACTATTGCCATGTAACGCCCAAAAAACTAGAGAAAAAAACTACACACACAGAAATCAGCTGGACCTTGTGAAGAATTGCCATTTCAAAAAGAAAATGAAGGTTGTTTTGGATTTAACAATATATGCATGTCTATGACATGGCTGTTAGCTACATTTGTAGAGTGTGCCATAGCACGTGGCACAGTAACATAAATTTCTTCTATGTTGGCAGCACTATTTTCTTCTTTCTTCCAAAGAATGTGCCTGTTTTTCTCTTTCCCTACAAATTCTTTGGAACTGGCTTCCAATTATTATGTGTAAGCGATCCCTTTACTCCTTTTTCCTGAACTCCAATGCTCCAACTTTAACTCACTTGCTTTGGTGTTTTTATGGTGTTATTTGAAATGTATCTTTTTGGCAAAAAGTGTTTTCCCCCCATATTTACGATTGTGAGACAGAGCAAACCACATTGATGATTTTGCATGTGAGAAATTTTTGTTAGGGGGTAACCTAATGATGCATTAGTATTCCTTCTAAGCAATAGTAATCTCTATATTAGACTTTGGTCATGATGGTTCTTTTTGTTGTTCCTGTTTTTTATCTTTAAGAGTGTATAAATTCTTATGCATGTAAAATTCTTTTTCTACCTTTAGAGATACCTTAAAGAGTTTGAAGCGTCATAAAGATGAAGATCTCCTTAAAGGTCAAGCTGTGAAAAACCAGAAGGTATAACGTTAACTAACTCATACCTTGACACACGTACATATATTTAATTTTTAAATTGATATAAATTATTTTATTGAGTAATGATTAATTATTTTCCAACTACTTAATCTTTTTCTGGATCCATTTCCTTTTTTTAAATTGTTATTTTGAACGACCCATTTCTTCCTTATTATAATAACATGGAATTTTTTATTATTATTTCTTTTCTAAGTGCTTTCAGTTATAGTTGTTACCATAATTTGTATATAGTTCAATGGACGTTTTCCCTCCTTTGCTTAGTTTGTAATCATATTATGTTTGTTTTTCCTGAAGGCACTATAGTACAAGATCCTTGAGCTTAGAGTCTTACTTCAGAAGCCATACTCAAGTTCAAATAGGTTACCCCAAGTATTTTCCTATTCCACTTGAAAGATTACTATGACTTTTTTTATTTATCACAAAAGAATTTTGTGCCAAAGAGATGAACTTTTTGCAGGAGCCAGTCAGGTCTTCATTGTATGGTTCTGATAAGGGTGTTAGTGTAGCATATTCAGATCTTATGACCTCCTCCAAGGAGATGTTAGATTCTATATTGGAACTACAAGGGGTCTAGATATAGAAGAAAATGTAGAACTGTTCCCTTACATTTCATGCCAACAGAAACTGTATTTATCTATAATATTATGTCTTTACTTCTCTAATTTTCTTATGCACTGATAATTTTCTCCTTATATTAGGCCCTGCTTGCCCGGAATCCATCTATTGCCCAAGTCTCATATGGTCATTGATTTCTTTTTTTTGTCCTTTGTTTTCCCTCGTAATTTAACTGCAACATTAACATATCCTTCTCTGTTGGTCAATAAAGCGAAAGGGCAATATTTTGCACTAATGGAAATAGATGCCTTGTCTCTTGTATGTGCATGTTGTTGAAAGGATTTTTATTTTTATTATTTTGGGATGTGCTATAACTTCTATTCTGTCGCATATATGCTTGAATGGTGTTTTGACCTAACATGAGTTTGTTTTATCTTCTAAAAGGTTCAGAAAGATCACCAGAACATTTAGACATTTTTAAGAATTTGGATGACAATTTTGATGAAGAGTGGTCATAGATTTCTCAAATGCATAAGAGGTATTTTTCATCATCATCTTCTTAGCGTACTCTTATTTTGCTAGATGTTCATTTCCTCACAACACATCATCATTCAGGCTTCTAAGTTTTTTCACTTGAACCCTACCTGCGGCAGTAATATTTGAAACTTACCTTGTTATGTATTTGGTGTGCATTTTTTTTCTTTTTTTTACTTTTTGTTGTGCTAAGCACCCGCCCCCCAGAAAACCCCTGGGGGGGACATGGCACACAAAACTAACTCAACTTGTAAGCACCCCTAAATCATGGATCTTCACTACTATCTAGACCTTTTGGATTGATGGAGTGATCTACTTCAAATTAAATTTCAGAAGAAAATAATGTGACCTTTTTCTTTTTCCAGTTTTTGCACTTATATTAATAAAGCCTATTATTGGTCTTCACCTAACAACATAAGATTTTGAGTTCCAACTGTGCCTTTTGACATTTTAGATTTCTTATATTTATATGCATGTGCATAAAATTGATTAGATAGACACTATGACCTAATTGATGTTATTCATAATTGCATTTTGTAGATTGGCACCTTTCAGAGATAGGTCGAT